GAAACAATCAACACCAGCTATGGCGAAAAAACCGAAACCAGCTCTGGCTACCGCACAGCAACCGGAGCCAGCATTGACCACGACAAAAGAACCTGAACCAGCACCGAGTACAAGAAAACTAACGAAATCAGCACCGGCTGAGGAAAAGCAACCGAAACCAGCAACGGCCATGGCTAATCAACCGGGACTGGCGCCGAGTACAGCAAAACAATTGGAACCAGTACGAGCTGTGGCAAAGCAACCGGAACCGGCGCCGACCACCGCAAAACAGCCGGAACCAGCGTCGGCTGCGACGAAACAATCAGCACCAGCTATGGTGAAAAAACCGAAACCAACTCTGGCTACCGCACAGCAACCGGAACCAGCATCGGCCACGACAAAACAACGGAAACCAGCACCGAGTACGAAAAAACAGTTGGAATCAGCACCGGCTACGGCAAAAACAGCATCGGTCACGGCAAAACAGTCGGAGTCAGCATCAACCCCGGCAAAACAATCGAGACCAGCACTGGCTGCGGCAAAGCAACCGAAACCAGCATCGGTCACGGCAAAACAACCGAAACGATCACCGAGTACGGCAAAACAATCGGAACCGGTACTAGCTACGGTAAAGCAGTCGGAACCAGCACTGGCCACGACAAAACAACTGGAACCAGCATCAGTTACGGCCAAACAACTGGAACCACCACGTGGTACAATGTCAGGAAACGTGGAGCCGTCATTTGTTCTAAAAAGTGAAAAAGCAGCACCGTTTGATATTTCAGCTGACAAGTCAGTGGTGGAGGCAACTGTGCCAAAACACGCATACCTGTCACTCACGCCAGAACTAGGAGGATTGAAGGTTAAAGACGCCGTGAAAGCGCCAGATACGCAAAAAGTTGAGCCGTTAGGAACAGACTTGGCGGAATACACGTCAAAGATGCCCACGACAGAAAGCACGACGTCGGTACCAGTAACGGAATTCACGGACCTGTCAGATTCATCAGAAGAAGAACCGCTGCTCGAACAGTTGTCAGGGGTCGCAACAGAATCAGCTGTGCTTGGTAGCGGAACGTTGGTACCTATTTCAGTTACACCAGAATATATGGATTCATTAGCTGTGCCAGAAAACGAATCGCTGCAGACGATTCAAGGAAGCGAATCACGGGAATTGGAACCAAATGCCAACATGAGTCATGCGGATGTTATGACTCCAAAGAGTGAATTAGCAAAATCGACGCTAGCTTCAGCAAAACTAACACTAGTTTCAGCTCCGGTGAAGACAGCTGTATCAAAGCCTCTGGAACCGTTAACAGCTCCAAAGCATCTTCAGTTGTCGGGACAACAACCAGTAAAAACACCGAAGTATGAATTGACGGGAATGTATGTGGAACCGGCTTCAACTGGAGTGCCGCACGCGGAACTGCTAACAGCTCCAGAAGGCGAAGCAGCCGAAGCGGCGCCAGAACCTTCAGTTGAATTACGCTGTAATTTAGCAGAAGAGCTGGCAGGAGTGACACCAAAAGAATTGCTGAAACCAGCGCTAGAAATTATGGATCTGTCAGATCTTCCAGAAGGTATACCATCTGAGGTGGTATCGGTTACACCGGAATGCACGGAAGCATTTACCACTTCAGAAGATGGATCAAAGCAATCAGTGCAGTGCGACAAAGCAATGGAGCTGGTACCAACAACTCCAGAGAGCCTGGTTCATCCTGCCGCTGAAACTGGCTTAGCAAATGCAGTACTAGATCCAGGAAAATGCATGAAAACATCAACTGCTCTAGGCAGCACTGCGAATTCAGGATTTACTTCACCACAATACGAAACGTTGAATGCATCCGTTGCGGAGGAACACGCGAAATCATCATCGACTGAAGTAAAACCCAGTGATTCAAAAGCCGCAGTAGAAAACGTGTTCAGTAAACCAACGCCAGAACGCACGGAAACCTTAACAGCAGTATCACATTCTGGGCCAACGGCGCTACTCATTTCCACACTGAAGAGCGCGAAAATACCGGAACCTGAAATAAACGCGGTTACGCAAAATGCAGAAATTGTTGTTGGAGCAGTGAACGGGGCTGCATCCGTGGTGAAACATGAGAATCTCTTAAATACGCCAAAAATTGAAGCAGTCGTTTCACTTGGTGAATCAGTGAAGTCTCCATCAACTGTGTCCAGAAATGGGGAGGCATCGACTGCATCTGAGAAAGGGTCAGTACTGCCAAAATTAACACATATAATAAGATCCTATTTCCGGGAAGAGCGGTCAGCAGGTTTGGCCAAAGACACAAAGCTGGTGTCAGGACCTTCACCAGTAGGATCAGCAGAAGTCACGGATTTAACAGATTCACCAGAATCTGAGTCCTTGTTTTCAACATCAAGCACCACGGAATCATCAAAACCATCGAGAACTGATTCATCAATTCTAGGATCAATTACACCGGAATGCTCAGAGGGGCTAACAGCGTCAGAAGACCGATCAACGCAGTCAGGATCACAACATAAGTCAATAGAACTTTCAGATTCAGCAAAGCACGTGGATTCATCGGTTCTGGCGAGTGGGTTAGCCAATTCGGCATCGGCTAAGTGCGTGGAACCGGCACAAAGTACCGCACAGCACGTGGGTCCGTCAATTCCCCGGCGTGAATCCCTGAAAGCGAATGAAGGAAAACACCTGGAACCTGTATTAGTTCCAGCAAAGAGTGAGGTCTGGCCACTTAGATCAAAGGGACCGGAGCTGTCGAATATTCGACAGATTCTATTACAGGGAAAGGTACCAGATGCGGGGAAGCATGCGAAAACGTTACTTGGATCAAATGAATTCCAGGAATCACAGTTATCTAAAAGCAAACATTTACAAACACCAGAAGCACCGGAACCGGAACTTATAGAACTAGTGCCATCAACTTTAAAACCTTTGTTGAAACCATCACTGTTTATTGAAAATGAGTACCCGTTGCCGGAATCTGCACCTGCGTCGAAAAACGAATCGGTGCAATCAGCAGCTCCAAAAGGAATGAAGCAGGCAGAATCATCAACTGCACGAAAAATTATACCCCTAGAATCGGAGACGCAAGCAGAGCAAGTGGTACCATTAACTGCATTAGGAGACGAGTCAATTAAACCTGCAGCAGCAAATGTGGAACTACCGCATATAACGGGCGTTGGATCGTTGGTACCAGCGTTGGGTAACGTGGAACCACCACATATGTCGGGTGGTGGGTCAGTGGTACCGGCGCTGCCATTAGCAAAACAGGTTGATATATCAACCACACAAAGATGCCCGTCAATGGCGTCTGTCACAGCTACAGCAGGAAATTCCGAATTGTCAACCACATCAGAGATTGCTTCTGCGAAGCCAGTGCTGACAACGGCACAGGCATCAAAGAAGCCATCACCGGTGGGTGGAGGGGGTACGTCTGAAAATGTAAAGCTGCTATTATTTACGGCAAAACACATGGGACCATCGTTCATGCTAGAAGACGGGTCAGTGGTACCAGCAGCATTAGCAGCAGAAAAACAAACGAGAAAGTCAGTTACAAAGGAAAGTGGACGCGTGGAACCATTAGAATCAGTGGCACCAAAACTGAAAGCAACAGCATCACCACGAGCTGAACTCTCAGAATCAAGGCCAACTGAAGCGAAACACGCAGCTTCAGTATCATTAGACGGTGCAAACGTGGGGCAAAAATTTGCGCACACTAAATCGGAATCACAACATGGTTTGTCAGAGAAAATATCAATAATCAATGTAAAAGAAGCAGAAGCGAATTTGCTAACTGCAGTAGAGAATGAATCCTCCTTACCAGTTCACGCCAAACGCTTGGAATCAAATGCAGCCGAGGAAGCTAAATCAATGGGACCGGTAGAACTCAAGGAGCCCGGCGAGTCAGCATACATGGGATCTGTAGCATCGGAAGATGAACCGATGGAGCTAGAAGTGGTCGATGTGGAACCACTGGAAGATGCTCCAAGAGATGGACCAGTGGAACCGATTCTGGCAGAACTGAAACCGCTAGGTGCATCTTTGGGTGCGTGGGATCAGAACTACGAATACGTGGAACCGGTATCAGTTTACGTGGAACCGTCAGATATTACGGAAAACACATCAGTGAAATCTCAAACATCTACAGCAAGATCTGCGGATTCACCAAGACCATCAAAAAGTGCATACACCGAATCAGCAACAAAAAAGCCGGGATCTTCAAAGGTAGAAGAATCTGTGCCAGCCAACGAAAACGAAGCGTTTGCTCCAGCTGCAGAAGGATTTGAATCTGCAACAGCGATAACAGACCGAACGCAGTGGTCAACTACATACATTGCGACTTCGCAAAGTCCATACGAACCTACAGATTTGGCATCTGCTTCTGACTTCGGATCAGTGGATTCTGTGTTATCTGCCAGCGAATCTACAGATTTAGCACCCATTTACAAAAAAGCATCCACAGAATCTGCGTTAATTGCATCCACACCTACAAAATCATCAAGTGATTCAAACGTGGTACCAAAAGGTTCTGCACTTACTGTAAATAAGTCTATAAAATCACCAGCGGGTTCCAATGTGGCGACGATAGATTCTGTAATTACTGCAGCCGGGCGCACAGAACTGGCAGGCGGCTACGACAAATTACCACTGAAGTTTGCAATAACTACAGCAGAACCTGCAGAATCGCTCGTTGACTCCGTTAGAGTACCATTGGATTCTGCATCTGTTGCGGATGAATCTGCAGAATCATTGAAATCATTACCTATAAATTTTGCACTTACTGCAACCGAACCTGCAGAATCCGCAGACTTTAACGAAAATGCACCTATAGATTTTGCGTTGACTGCAATGGAGCCTGCAGAATTGCCATCTGTTGGCGCAGAACTGCTAATGGATTCTGTGCTCACTGCAACCGAACATACAAAATCGTCAAGTGGTTCAGATGTGGCACCGATAGATTCTATACCTACTGCGACCAAATATGCGCAGTCGATAGGCGACTACGATAAATTACCATTGAAATTTGCTCTAACTGCAGTAGAACCTGCAGAATCATTAGCTGATTCCGATGAATTACCACTGGGTTCTGTAACTACTACAACCGATTGTAAAAAGTCACCGGCCAGCCCCGACGTAGTATCGCTAGTTTTTGCAATCAAATCAAAAGAATCGGCAGAAGGCTGCGAAGAAGCACCACTGAATTTTGCAATAACTGCAGCGGAACCTACAGAATTGCCAGATGATTTCGATAAAGTATCATCATATTCTGTACTCACTGCAACTGAACCAACAGAATCGATAAAGGCTTACAAAAAAATGCCAGTAAATTTTACAGTGGCTACAGCGGAGCCTACGGTATCGACAGCTACTCAACAAGAAGTATCAAATTATTTTGTACCAACTACAACCGAATCTAGTGCTTCCGACATGCTACCAATGGAATCTGTGACAGCTGCAACTGAACCTACAAAATCGGCACACAACTGCAAAGAAGTACCAGTGGTATCTGTAACAGCAGCAGCCAAAACCGCAAAACTGCGGAAGAGTCCCGACGTGCTACCAGTGAAGTCTGCACTAACTGCATCCGAATTCACAGCGTCGTCATCCACTCTCGATGAGGTGGTACCAGTGAGACACTCACAAATTACGAGTGAATTTTCAGAATCATTAGTTCCCCCTGATGCATTGCCAGGAGACCTTGCGTTAACCTCAGACGATATTGCTGAAATTGAACCGATGGAATCGATTATGGCAAAACGCAGAGAAATGCAAGCTGCTCATGCAACGAAAGAGACCAAAAAGACTACGTCTAGTGCAGGAAAATATCGAGGATTATCGGCTGGTACGTTTACTCTCGTTGCAACCACTAGTCAGAAAGACAATAGTTAGAATCCTCCCCGTATTCACTTTCTATGAGAAGCGGAGGCACTCAAAAATACTTCGATCGCAGCATGCCCAGTATCAGTTTAGCGTCGAAACGAATGAATGACTCGTAGAGGAATTGATTCTCCCAAATGTGGGATCGAACCCTCGACCTGCTGCATGACTACAGTGCTGCTAGCCGCTGCGCCATGCCTGCAATCTCAGCCACTAGCAAAGCCGAGAAATTAGACACAAGACTGGCTTGCAAATTTTTCTGGTTTTCAAAGATATTCTTAATAATCCAACATTCTGAAATATTTTCATATTACATGAAATACCCGGAATAGCAATCTTAGTATGATTCTCTATTGATGTAAATTGCTAATTGCTTTGTCCAGTACTGCACTGCTTAATGGTCTGCTTACGGGCAATCCTGACGTTATTTTCCACTTCTGGATGGATTACTAGCTTAACAATTTTCTAAGCAAAAAAAATTCCTTGTAAGCTGTTTTTTGCCAAATTTTTTTTCTCAAATAATTCTGATTTTCAGAGGTCAAGGCCCAGAATGAGATCAAAACTTCTGTCGCTCCGATAAGCCAAAAAACCGTTCATCCGAAACCAGAGGAAAAGGCGGGTAAATCTGCGGGGAATGCTGCAAAAAAGACGGACGCCACAGATGGACTAAGTACCGCTCGAGCTTCTTCGACTGGCCGTCGCCAGTCAGGCCAGAAGCCCAGTGTATGAAACAAGGAATTTGTTTATCCAGTCCAACACTAATTTGTCTTCGAGTTTAAATTTAGATTCACTAACTTAAGAGTTAGTTTCCCGCACTTACCTATCCTTTATACCGCGGTTTCGTCACTCAGTGCATATGAGGTGTCTTCGGAGATTATTAAAATGGTCATTTTTTCCTTTCGCATTTACAAATACCCTTTCCCAAAAAAAACACGGGGTCCCATGCAACGGGGTCCTATGCAGTGGGGTCCTATGCAGTTACCTATATTTGATGCTATGGCACCGTCACGGAATGGGGCATGATGGCTGGGAGTGCAATAAATGACACGTCACGACTCGACGGATTCGAAAGTAATGAAGATGAATATTTTGACCCGCATCCGAAAGACAGTCCACATTGATCAGAACTTTTTGTTCTAGAAAACTTACTTTCATTTGGTATTTACAAATTTGTGCTGGAGAATATTATATTATATTGTATAATCAATAGATATTATTAATTTTCGATCTTCCAGGTGGCAAATTTTCAAATGCCAACTCGCGATGAATTTTCAAATGCCAGCTCGCAATGGGACGATTTTCAAGAATGTGGAACAGCTCGGTCATTCAGCCCAAACGCCAGCTTATCGTCCAATTCAGATTCTGTATCGGGACATTTGTGTACCCAGGTGCGTGAATTACCAGCTGCCGCACAGAATATAAACTTCCAGAAGCCACTGGATGATACCGAGGATTTGACAACAGCACAGCCAGTATCAGACTGGTACGATCAAAAATTGAAAGTTAGTCTTCTGTAATTGCTCTACGGCATGGTTTTTAAATTACAGCAACATAGCCAGATTCCTCTTGTGTAGAAATGAGGAGAGGAAAAAGGAGTGCCGTGGATTCCTACGAAAAGCCGGCAAAAAGTGGAAAATTGTTCGTAGCCCTAGGCACCCAACTGTAATTTTTGCTACTTCTGGTAGCAGTCCCAAACTGCTCTAGTCAGTTTTTGGTTTGTTACTTACTTTAATCAGCAGCAATTCACAGCATAATTTTTCCAGTTGTTTCGCCAGTGCTGCATCGTCTAGTGGCCAGTCTGCTGGTGCTCCTAGCTTTCGCTTTGTTCCCTTCTCTGTTCTTTTCAGTACAGTTACAAGTTTAGTTTTTTCCATTTTTGCGATGTTTAAAAAAAATTCTTCCCCCAACCATTCAGTTTTCCGATAATACTTCCAGATTAAATATTCACAAAACCTAGTAAGTATAATTGCAGAAAGTACAAGCACAAGAACCAGCATACAGCGATTCTGAGGACCTACCGACAGCACTTACCATTTCCTATCTAAATTTGCCGGATGCAACAAAAAGTAGCCGGAACGAAAATGATCCAGAAACCCGAAGCAGAAAAAATAAGAAACCGAAAACCGGCAGCTCGCGTCCGTTTGGCATTGGTCAGGCAGCGCAATTGCCCTTCTGGTCAGTGACTGCTAAACTACGACAAAAAATCATCACGAAAAAATCTGCCAAGCATAAAAAACACAGAGGAGGAAGAAACCAGAGCAGCGACAGTGTCAGATCTGAGGCTAGCAAGTCAGAAGCGGGAAAACAAATGCTCAAGTCAAAGCCAAGCTGGCATTCTCGAGCAATTACCCGCTTTTTCACAAGACAAGCGCTGAAAAAAAAACAACAGAAGAATACGAATTTGGAATCGCGTCGCAATAATTTCGGAGTTTCGGCACAAACCAAAGATACCGTAGGGTAAGCTTTCAACTTTTCGCCAAGGCTTTCTTTTTTATGCCAGTAAAAATGGTTTTTTAAGCTTCGACAGTGTAGTCTTTTGATTTTTTTGGAATTTTCTTATTTGAAGTTTACTACAACCAGAATTTTTCCCAAGTTTCTGAAAAGCAAAATTTACCATTTGAGAAACCTGAATATTACTTTTATGGCTTCAAAAGGCAAGTTTTCATTTTTATAAAATTATATAAACATTTTTCTTCACAGCATTTTCCATTTTTTTGTTAAATAAAAAATTCCAATTCGAAACCTTTTTCAAGTAAAATAGCTGCGCACACTGATTACTTGGGCGATCTTGACATTCCTGAGATGCTCAGTACATATGGTCTTACGAAAATTTTATATTCCCAAAAAAAAAGTATTCACAAAGCCAGAAGCATGACAGCGCCCGTGAAACTGCAGTCTTAGCAGATGATTTGTCAACAAGACTCCCATCAGCAACTAATGAATCAAACAGTGGTGGTTCCTGAAAATCACGGCTTTCGACATCAGAAAAGCAACAGCAAACACAAATTTGCAGCTCTGGAAGAACTGAAACTCAAACAAGAGAGGCCAGTGCTGTGCCAGATAAATCCACCGAGTCAGTAATTCCTGGAACTACCGTGGTGTTAATTCATGAGAATTCATCGGAAATCAACGAAGGTAACGGTCGATAAATTTTATATTAATAACAGATAGGCACATTATAATTATCTTATGGTACACTTTAAAGTATTAAGTACTCGATCTACCACTCATTAATATTTCGATAAAATTCGATTCCACCAGCGGGAAAAGCATCAATTTTCTCGTGGTTCACATATTCATTTCGAGCAGCGCATTAAAAGGAAGCCATAAATGAAGCCATAACCAAGAGGTCATAACTGTAATCAGCTTCCCTGTGAGCAACCTGCTGCGAGAAACGACAAAAAACTTGAAGAAAAAGACCGCCAAAGGAATAGGTGCATGCTACTCAAGAAGCAGATGCACGTAAAAAAGTGTTATCGGATGTTATTAGAGCGCAAAAGCGGGTGGCGCAGTGTTTCGAGCGTACCATATCATTGAGATGTGGGGTTTTGATTTCTTCTCGATCTAAACTCACTTGAAAAAAAGGGTCCCATTCAGGGCACAAGTTTTGGAATGTGGAACGAATGTATGCGCATCCTTTTTTTTAGAGTGATGCATGAAAGCGACTTAATTTCTAACTTGAATGAGCAATTAAAAATTTATATATATAAGAAAATAATACTTGTCAGTGTTGCGGTGGTGACGGTGGATTACCGCGGTAGCATTGGGCAGTAACGGATACAGTTCCTGAATTGGGCGCAGCACATCGGCCCTTCGTCGTTTCGTTGACGAACGCAGTCCGTCGGCTCCAAACTTTTCCCTTGAGCACGCTTTGTCGGCTCCGGATCGTCTGAATCCCTCAAACTCAAACTTGGGTAATATAGCCTTTATTAATAAATGATAAAAAATAATGAAAATTAAAACGCGAAACACCAAATGCGGATGCAAAACTTGTGGCACACCAATAATGTAAAAAGATAGGGTAGGGGTAGTTTCCTTAATCGTCCTGCTGCTCGTTCGTTGTGCCAAAGCTGATACACATCGTCGTCACTGCTCGTAGACGAAATCGGCCGAGGGGCTTCAGACAACCGCCAGCCGTAAGTCCGATCTTTACCAGTGGGAAAGGGCATCTTGACAGAGTTCCGTCCCGTCTAGAGTTAGCAACCACTCCATCTGACTCATATTTCAAGCGACACCAAATACAGCTGAAACTGAAAAAGTGTACATGGGCATAAAATTTTTAAATTTGATTTGAACCATGTCTGATGCACTTTTCGGGATTTTCATCTTTTTGACAATCAGTACAGTGTATGTGGTGATCGCTTAAGGTAAGTTCTTCCCCGGTGCCTTTCCCATCTCGCTGCTGAGCAAAATATTTCCGTGTTCAGCATCAGGTAGTCGAATATCACTAAGTGAGGTGAATTTCCCCACACAGTTCATAGCAGGGTTCGTTTTTTCTTCATCATTTTCTGAAGAAAATGGTTTAAATGATACAATTTTTTTCCAGGAAAACCTTTGCCTTTCAAAACAGAAGCAGAACTCATAGGTACCTTGAAAACGGTTGCAAACAGTGGGGAACATGAAACGGAAAAATCTGCGGTACGGTTAGTCATTCATCAGTGCTTTTATAATAGACTAAAACTGTCTTATCTACACCTGCTTCAGCTCGTTGGACTCGAGGGATTCCCGAAGAAAAGTAGTATGCATAGATCAAGCAAGCCAGTGAGTATTAGCTGGAGACATGCAGCCCAGAACTGAGCGGTCCGCCATAGTTGTACCCGGCATGTGGGGAGGTTCATGGGACCCCCACACTGACAGTCCAAGCTGTCTTGGATTCTTGGTAAATACTATCATCTCTTATAAACTCTATTTTTAAATGTGGTACTTCCAAAACACTACCACAATTTTAGTGACTCGCAAATGTCTCCTATTTATTCAGGGCCGTCAAAAATTAGATGCGCAAATGCAGTGTGACAAAAATGAACAGGCAGAGTTCCAACTGCGACGTCTTACAGTCGATGGTGATGATCTATGTAATACTTGACCAACCGAAAAACAAGTACGTTTCAGGATTCATCGAAATGTGATAGCACTTCTGGATTTGCAGTAATGTAACGTTTTGCAAAATGATAATAATGGCAAAGTGTTGAATAAAATTGATTGCTAACAGTCATTGTGAAATTGCCCGTCGTGACCGCTTAAACAATCCGACTTTTTGTTAAATGGTTGGAGTGAAGGACATCATTTCGATGGGCACAGCATGTTGCTCAACTTGACGATAATTAGTGGACGTCGTCTTTTAGTGAATGGTATTCGCGAAAAAGTAAACGACCATTCGAGCGGCTTTCGGAAGTGTCTTACACATACGTTGTACAGGTTAGGGGCGCTAACTAGAGGCATATGGCACAGGAACAAAGTTCGGCAATAGTATTAGCAAACCCAATTAACATCACTAACATGGGACGCCCATACTGATTGTTCGAGGGTAATCTCAGTATTCATTTTGAGTTGCAACAGTAAGAAGTTAGAAAAGCTGGAAAAACCAAGTGTGCGTAACAAAGGGCTCTTCAAAAACATCATTTTGCTTCACGAAGTAAATCAAATTTATTGAGAAAATGTGTATTTGTACGGCATTTGTAGGGAAACATTACAACATTTTAAAAATTCACTGAAGATCAGAATGAACAAGACCCAAATTGCTGAGCTGTGAATGGTCAAACAGAGGAGCAACTTAGCTTTGGGAGCAAAATTCGGTGCATTTTGTACCAGCTTTCTAACTCTTGAAGGCGAAAAGGAATTGCAAAGCACGGGGTTTTGGAATATCAGATCGATCATTCAAAGTGGGATAACTGGTTTGGGCTGATGATAGAGGTCATCTGAGAGACATAAATTCTCTAAAGAATACAAAACGTGATATGTAAAAAACAATGAAGTGGTACGAGTTTAATGCACGCTGTAGACATTTTGAGAAATACGAATAAAGGGAGTAAAGCAGGGATAACCACAATCATCAAAAGTCAGAAAGCTAGAAAGTCTAATGCAGGCTCAATAGCAGGCGACGCACCACTGATCACAGCATTTATTT